CACACACACACACACACACATATACATACACACACACACACACACCACACACACACACACACATGAGTACGTGGGTGACAACTTCAAAAAAATAAGATATGGTGTTTGTATGTACTCCGTAGCAGTTATTCCCGTAAGAATCTTATTCTGCTCACCACGAATTATATAGTATGGTTCGTGTTTGGTAAATTGCATATCAATCTCTTTTAATCAATGTAGCGATTCGTTTTTTAATTAAAATAAATTGCAGTGCACGAATAATTCATATGAATGGTTAGAATACATAAAAAAAGGTTTCATGCGCCCAAGCACAAATTTAAACTTTTGGTTTAGTTAGTTTTTGATATGACGTTGGAATCTTGTTGACTAAAAAATCACAGGTTCAAAACTTTGTGCAACCTAATTTTAAAAAATGTTAGGTTTCATGTGCAAAGTTGGCCGTGTTAGAATATGTGAAGTAAAAAAAATTTCTTGAGGTACAACAACAAACTTGAATATTGGTTGAGTTGGCCATCATAAAATCTTTTTTAGAGTATAGGTATTGTTCAAGGAGTAACATTTCTTCATATTTTATTGACATAGAGGTCAGGCGTGACACTACACTTAGTTTTTTAAAAAATAATATTCACATGCAAAGTTCAGTAAAAATAAATTTTGCGCGTGAGGAACGAACTAGAGTAAACAATCTTTTCTAGATCTAGATTAGAACGGCAAACTTAAACCATTTTGGTTGCTGAGTTAATTCCTTAGAAGGTAGGGGACAATAGAAATATTATTCCAAAATACTTTATCTATTTTTATACGTCTTAAAAAAATACGTAATCTGTCTTTTGTCAAAACAAAATTAAATTGTGCGCATTTAATCTTTTAACATTTTTTTAGTTTTATGAATGGGGATCCACATTATTTTATCTTGTATTTAGACTGTTTGGCACTTTGATGGATTACTTGAAAAGCAATAGTGATTACCCAGAAGCCAGAAATATTTAATCGCAACTTTGTCCAAAATACTTTTGGAGCTCATTTTGCACTCAGAATCCATACGCCATAGGAACAATTAGATTTTTCAAGCGCACAGAATTACTTTTGGATGAAGTAGAAATTCCAAAATTATTCTCTAATGACAAACACCATCTTATTATCTTACTCCCTCCGTCCCATTTTAAATTGCCTGTTTGCTTTTTTTCTCCGTCCCAAAATAAATTGCCTATTAGTTGTTTTCGTAAACTATTAAAAATAAAATACCTAAACTACCATTAAAATAAGTCATTCTTTTTCACATTATCTTCTCATTCATCATTACCCCTCTTAAAAAATAATGTCAATTTTGAAAAATCAACTCTATTTTTTATTTTCCTTAAATATGCCCAAAAGTCAAAACGGGCGATATAAATTGGGACGGAGGGAGTAATAGCTAAAACGGTTGATAATTTCCAACTTTGATCTGAAATTATTTATTTTAAACTACATGAAAAACTGTATGGATCGGAATCAATGGTTTGTTTTTTTACTATCGACATAAATATAAAAAAACACAATTTCAGTTCTACTAAAAAGGTATGTCCAATTAAACTATACATCATACTATCATACTCCGTAGAATACAATGAAACCGAGGGAGAACTAAATAACTAGGGAACTGGGAAGTATTGCACTAATGCCAACACTGTTGCGTGATTCTCCCTCTCTCCGAAAATAATCTTCTCATTCGATTTTTCTTAGTTAAAGTTTGTAAACTTTGACTCTGATATGTGGAAAAAATACAATGTATTATGATATAAATTTAATATCAATATGTTTGTATTGAAACATAATTTTCAAATATCATTTTTTAATAAAATATATCTATGTATAAACATAAATATTAATGGTTAAAGTACAACAAATACTGAAGGCCGTAAAAAGTCAAATGGAAAAAACATTTTCAGACAGATAGAGGATTTTACAAACCAATTGCAAACAAAACCACATGGAAAACAAACATCATGTTGTCTAAAACCATGCATTCTCTGTGTACTCAAACTCAAAGAAACTATTTATTACTTGTATAATAACTACCCATTGCCTTTGTGCATGCTCAAACCGAATGAATGTCAATTCACGTTATTATAAACCTTTACCATTTTTCTTTTCAGAGTAATCGAGTAAATGATTCAATTGGTATCTTAAAAATGATTCTTATGGATTATTATTATTTTCAGAAGAAAAAAAATAAATCCAGCTACTTGTAGCATGCCTCAAATAGCCTCATAATTGAGAAAGGGTCCGTTTAGAATCATACACCCTCACAAGTGGGCTTGCAAAAAGCTTAGAATCCGTTTGGAATGGGGGAAATGACTTTTGGAAGTCATTTTCCCCATTTTCCGGTGTTTGGGAGCAAAGTCAAATAAAAAATTAGTTGTGGTCTAAGGAAAATGAGCTTCACGATTTTTTTCGAGAAGTCAATTTCCCCCAACGGCTCTCTCGACATTCATCGTCAATCGCTTCTGTCTTCCAGCCACAGCCGCGCACCTTTGCCACCACCATTGCCACCCTCCCCCGCCGATATCCCCCCTCTCCATCGCTGCCACCATTAAGACCGATTAGGTTTTCATGGAGATCCACCTCCCATTGCTGCAGTGCTAATAATCCTCACAGCGAGTTCAAATACTTTGAAAAAAAATCCAATGGTGTGAACTTCGTTGTGATTTAATTTTTCAGGTTTAAAAATATTCCAAGTCGCCACACATTTCTATTTCCTCTGCCGCCGATTTGCATTCTCCCTCGCCCCGTCGTTTCTGGTTTCGTGGATTTTCCCTATTGTAACCAAACACTAGAAAAATAGAAAATGACTTCTGGAAAATACACATTTTCTAGAAGTCATTTTTCAGAAACCATTTTACTCATTTTCCCCATTTCCAAACGGACCCTTAGTGCACAATATCCCAAGGGTATGCAGAAGGGTACATGATATTCTTTCTGTTTGACAAATGATAGTCAACCAAATATAAGATTCCATGTCATTTGTATAAAGACTACATACACTAGATAAACTAAATTGGTGGGAGACACATTGGTTGCCTCCCCATTTAGCAGAGCTCATTCAAAAAGCTCATTCCAGACATTATTATGTGCTCAGTCTTTATTCTCCATCATTGAAAAAAAAGCACTAAAGAAGCATTGCCTTCATTATGTTACCTCCTTCCAAGTTAACATAATGCAGCACTCAAAGTGATGGCACACTCCGCTAATTACGATGCATTAATAAGAATTATCATTGCCCGGTCGACTTTAATGGCGCATTACTATCAATAATCAATCCAAGGAAGTCACCTCTTTGATATATTTAGCCGTCCTGCAGTGCCACACTAATATAGAAAATCTGCATCAAAGCAATATTCGTGTTTGATGAGCTTCAAGTTTAACTTTTTTTTGGTGTTTCAAAAACACCTATCACATAATATATTTTTTTATATTTTAAACTACTGAAAAGACACTTTCAACCTCAAAAATCCAGCATAAACTTTACCACACGTTATTAAAGACTCAGTCTCATAAAAAGAGTTCACTTTGATGAGTATACAACTTTTATATTTTTACAATTCATAACCAAATAAACAGTATCTTAAATGATAGAGGAGTCAAAGTTGAAGGAAGAAATAAAGTGGCAGAAGTTATGGTTGGGTACTATCAGAAACTGCTGGGAGAAAGGGTATGGTCTGACCCAATACAAGATGAAATCATAAACAGTGGCCCTTGCCTGAAGATGGATCAACAGATACAATTGGTAGAAGAAGTTACCCAAGAACAGATTAAAGAAGCAATGTTTTCAATCCCTAACACCAAAAGTCCAGGTCCTGATGGTTATAACAGTGGATTTTTCAAAAGGAATTGGTGTGTAGTTGGAGAGCTAGTGGTGAAAGCAGTTAAAGAATTCTTCAATAAAGGGGAATTCCCTAAACAGCTTAATGCCACTAACATAGTGCTTATCCCTAAAGTGGATGATCCAGAGTCTCCTAATGAGTTCAGGCCTATCTCTTGCTGTAATGTTCTTTATAAGGTTATATCTAAGATATTATGTTGCAAACTGAAGAAAGTGCTGCCAAGCATAGTGAATCTTAACCAGGGTGCCTTTGTAGAGGGTAGACTGCTGGTCCATAATGTTCTTATTTGTCAGGAATTAGCCAAGGGCTATAACAGAAAGGGTGTTTCACCAAGATGCTTGATGAAGATAGACCTTAGGAAGGCCTATGATTCAATTAGTTGGAGGGCAGTTAAAAGCATTATGGAGGCTCTGAAATTTCCAAATCAATACATTGACTGGGTATGCTACTGTATTTCCAACACAAGTTATTCTTTGATACTGAATGGTGAGAGCTTTGGTTACTTTAAGGGAGGAAAAGGAATTAGACAAAGATGATCGTTTTACTATCAAGGATCTTGGTATTGCTCATTACTTTCTTGGTTTTGAACTTAGTTATACTTCAGAAGGGATTGTACTTTCTCAAAGAAAATTTGTCCAGGAACTTCTTGCTGAGCACCAGTGTTTACATGACAAACCTGCCAAAACCCCTCTTCCTCAGAACTTCAAATTTCAACATGGTACATCTTCTCTTTGTTCTGATCCCACTCCGTATAGGAGTCTGATAGGCAAGCTTCATTTCCTCGCACACACCAGGCCTGATATCTCATATTCAGTCCAGATCTTAAGTCAGTTCATGCAAGCTCCTGAGGCTGATCACATGAAGGGTGCCATTCATCTTCTTCATTACTTACTTGGTACCATAAATCAAGGCATTCTAATGAATGCTTCTGACCAGTTNCGATTGTCATTTTACACGAGAGAAAGTTCTTGAAGGCTTAATTCAGCTCTCCTATCTCCCTACCACTAATCAACTTGCTGATGTTCTCACCAAGATTCTGCCTGCTGATAAGTTTCAGATTTTGTTGTCCAAGCTGGGCATGGTTTCTCCTACACCCAGCTTGAGGGGGGGTGTGAAGGATCAAGCTGCGCAGTCAGCTTACACTTCTAACCACTTAGTGCCACCTGTCATTTCTAACTAATTTCCCTTGTTTTTTGGACTTTCTGTTTGATTAGTTATGGTAGTTTATATAGCTAGTTTCTTCCTCCCCGTTAGGGCAGATTTTCAGAGACACATTTGAGCTTCAGTTTAATGGAATTTTCCTGCGTTTGTTTTACAATTTCATCTTCTCCAATGAAATTTAACAGTTGATAACTTGAAACTGTGGTGCATTGGGATCTATATCCCTGTACATCTCTTTGATGATTAGCAACAATATTTGCCACTATGTCACAATTGGCATATAAATAACTAAAGTAAATTTCCACCTTCTAGCTTGAGTACCTTCAACAGTCAAATATATAGACAGAAGGAAGGCTATATTATTAAGCACCTGTATCCTCTGCAGATCTCTTATACTCGGACTTCAACATAAGTGCCTTGATTTACTCCACTCTTGTTGTATACAGATGACTCATTTGGTATTTCCTTCAAAAATTGCTGTAAGCCAATTAAGAAAATCAGTCAGCTTGTGTTATTGCTCTATAGTCAAGCAATACTAAAAGAACTCATAATCAATGTCTTTTTCCCCTCCACTAGAAGGCAACCCCTTCCCTTACCATCCTAGTTTATTCCTGTGTTTTGTTTCATTCCCAATATTATCTTTTTGGGTTTGATTATTAGCTTCAACTAAAGTACTAGAACAACTTTCATACTCAGTATTTCCTCATAGTAACTTATCAATCAATAAACTATTGCAATTGGGATTGGCACAAATTAAAAATATGACAAGTAGTTCAATAGTTGGTCATACGATCATAATAGGAAGCTATAAAGAAAACTCACAGTAGGTTGATCAATGTCTAGGATTAGCTGTTTCGAGGTCCAATTAGGCTGCCTTTCAAAAAGTTTAAACATAAATGCATGAAACAATTTTTTTCCCTTCTTTCTTCATGTCTGACTCCAGAATTCAAATTAACATGGTATAGATGTGGTGTATTCGCTATCCGGCGGTTCAGCTGCATATACTTACCAGCATTTAACTAATGCATAGAACAAAATAAGTGCCTTTGAACTCAGAGATTAAGCATTCCAGGAATGGACCTCATGTTTATTCCACGATCAATATCAATGACCTAATTGAGAACTTAATTACGAAAATATAACTCCGAATAAGACAGTTGTAGCCACCTAAGTCTTCCGATGCAAATAAGAATTAGTAGATACTTGTTTTGAATTTTAATTGCATGGATACAGAGAACAGTACCTGGAGAGAATCATCAGGATGAAGATGATCGAGAGCAGCTGGGGGGGTAGCGTCGAAAGAGAGGCGATGGCCTGAGATTGCCACGACTTGGAGACAGCTGGTGGAACCTTCATTAATCACACCGATCTCTCTGCCTTGGCCGTGTCGGCGGCGGCGGAGGCATCGTTCCCGCCATGATCACTTCCATTTCTTCACGCTCAAACTCTCTGCTCACGCGTTTGCTCTCTCACCTCTTCTCTCTAACCTCCATCAGTCATGCCACATTGAATATGTTTGACCGGCCCGGACGGGGCCCGGCCAACCCATGTTCGGCCTCGTAAAAATGTTAGCGGGCCGTTAACTTTTTTTTTTACGCAAGCGGCCCGCATCTATTGAGAAAGGAAGTGTTGAGATTGAAATGGATTACGTCAATGAAGCCCACCAATTACCTTTTACTAGTATTTGATAAACCTTTTGGTGTACTTTTATTTATGTATTTTTTTAATTTCACCTCAATTCTCAAAAATATTGAATTGAAAATAATGTAATTCAAACATCATAAATTGATATTATGTAGTTTAACTAGGGATGGAAGTAATCACACCTTTGATGCTCCCTTGTTCCACAAAAATATTTTGCATTTTCGTTTTCGAGCCATCCCAAAAAAAATTTCCACTGTTGTAGTTTCAAAAAGGTTTTAAAGGATCATATTATTTTATTATTTTTTTCTCTTACTCCCTGCGTCTAAAAATTATCTCTCCGTTACTACTCCCATAGTCAAGTTTTATTTATTTTCTTGACAAGTTTTTGTTGCCAATTTCATTAAAAAATATAGTCATTTCACCTCTAGTTTTGTAGATCTCTTGATGTAATTTTTAAATATGTAAGTTTTATATTTATTAATTATGCACCAATTTTAATACAAAATGATTTCAAAATAGCTCCAGTGAAATATCGTAACGCGCAATAGAAAAATAACTTTTGAACGGAGAGAGTATGCATTAACTTTTCTTAATTTTTGTGTAAGACAAATTTGAAATATTTTTTTGAGGACGGTGGAATATTATACAAAAGGGAGATGCTAGGGGTACACCTTGTACACCACCCCTCTATAACCACTCATTTATTTTTTATTTTTATTTACCTAATTTTTTTTAAATTTCTTGCCTATTTAAGTGGTAATGGAGGGGGTGGGGGACAAATGGGGTACACCAAAGGTGTACCCCTAGCATTTTCCTATACAAAAACCATTGTAAGGGGCTGTTTGGCAACTTCTGAATGGGTAAGTGCTGAACCAGTAAGAGGTCTGAATCATTAAGTGTTGAACCAGTAAGAGGTCTGAACCATTAAGAGCTAGTATATTGCTTAACTATTCAGAGGCAAATTGTTTGATCAATTCAGATAACAGCTCTTAACCATTCAGACTCTGTATAATACTTAACCATTCAGAGGCAAATCTCTTAACCATTCAGACATCTGAACCATTAAGTGCTGAATCATTCAGACATCTGAACCATTAAGAGGCTGAAACAAACAGCCCCTAAATGTAATGTTGCATTATTAACACTCTCTCCGTCCAAAAATCTCATTTCACTTTAGCTTCTAATTTGTCCCAAAAGAATATTTCCACATTCAATCAAAATTTTATTTTTTTTTATTTTTTAAAATAGTGGTTACATTATGTTTGGAGTATATTGAAACAGCACAAATAATATAAGGATTATGCTATGTGTACCCCAAGGTTTGTACCCCCCAATTTGTACCCCGCAGTTTTGCACCAACACTTTGTGTTGGTGTAAAACTAATTTTTGTTAAACGCACCAACATTTGTGTCCGTGTGAATATTTATTAACGCACCAACACTTGTGTCGGTGTAAACCATCGAAATGTTTGTGCAAGCCTGTAGTGTGCAAATGGGGTATATTTTTTGGTGTAAGTGTAGCATGGTCCATAATATAATACTGTAAATCACAGTACAAATAATGCATACAGTAGTAGCAGTAATTATTGAATAGCCCTTAATACAGTGGAGTACTTGGTTGGATCCTAAACAGGACAATTAATTAGTACGTAGGAACGGAAGTAGCTTGGAAACGGGCTTAAATATGAGCTTATTAGGGTCTATGGGAGTATTATTATTATTAGCCAAATGCCCAAATGTCATACTAATAATATATGGCCACAATTAGACCAATTCCAATATAATGATGCACTGCGTCCTTTCCAAGGCCCGCTTTATATGGCACCTACGGAAAGGGACCCCCAAAAGGTCTTAATAATGGCCCACAATAAATACCGGGGTAATTACTCTTTTTCTCAAAAAAAAAAAAAGTACAAATGAAACAAAACGTTGTGGATTTCTAGTATGTTTAAATGCTCATGTGAATATGCGTTTTTTAAAAACAAATTTGCACTTAGTACTAGCGTATTATTCGTCTAGGTTGATTATTCTAGTTCATTAGAACGAATGTCGATCATTATTTTACTTATAAATTGTATTAATAATGAGTCTGGTCTAGAACGATTACGTAGTATATTTCAATTCTGGGCCGATTAATAGTGAGTTTTATCTATTACTATTACGCGTAAGATGTGCATTTTAGCCCGCATTTGTTAGAATTCGAGTATAAATTAATCATTGTAACATTAGCTTCTCGGCCAGCTAAACTACGCATCTCGAGATGCGGCAAACCAGTAATACTTGATTTATTTAAAGGGGGG